AAAACATCCACGCATTTTATCGAAAGTTATAAAAGTTTTGTTACTTGTAATATGTTTTATCTGCCCCCTGGAATTAATGTTTAGAACCTTGTTCCCAAGGTTTGAAAAACATCCGATTGTTGTCTATTACTCGTATTTACCTGCTGGATTTTTTAATCCGGTGGACAGTCCACCTAGAAAGGCCCTCCTGGATGAAGTTACAGAATCATCAACCCATACTTTACTTGTAGTGTGTCCTGCGTTTACCCACGTTTCATCAAGGTAATAAATCTTCCTGTTTTGATTTCTATATTTCCCAATTTTTGTTAAATAATCCCTCCTCCATAGCACAATTTCTTCTCTATCCAGTAGTAAACTATTACGACCCCGTTTTTTCCATTTGAAATTTAAATGCTTCAGTAACGCATGGAAAGTTGATCGTTTGAAATTTGGCAACGTTGTATCTCCATTTACCTCCTGCAGTACTTTATCTATAGTAGGTATTTCATTCCTAAAGAAGAATTCATGCACTTTCCTCCTAATCGCATGCTTATCAGCTTCATCCAATGATTTAACAATACTTTTGCGATGTTTACTGGTCATTGGCTCAAGAAAGGTGTGATTTTTTTTGTATCGTCTTAACACATTAAACACTGATGCTCGACACACCCCAACTTTGTGAGAAACCTTCACAACAATTTCTTTGATGGTTGATGCCTCGTTCTCCTCGCGCTCGATCTTATATATATTCAAAATGACCTCTTTCATTTCTGCACTCAGGTGTCTTTTTTTAGAGCGTTTCCTAGGTGGACTACAGGAGTTTACAACTTCATCGGCAGTATATGTACTACTGGGCATTTTGCGCAAGCAGTTGATAACAATAACAATCAATAACAACGACAAACTCAACAACTTAATAAGATAACAAACGAAAACGTCCAAAGAAATATCAAATTGCAATGATGCACACGACATACGTAACACGTCTGAACCTGAATGTGACTCTGCCTTGATACGACTGCTCTGCCGCTCGGCATAGGCATTTAATTGCGAATCGACCAATGAGGGCTCCTGTTTTACGTCGAGACGGCGGCGTTAGCGTGAAAATCACCCGAACCTTTTGTTTACATCCGGTCTATCTCTTATCTGAATATACTGTAAGCAACATTTTTTTTCAATTTCCTTTTAAGATTTTTCTGATCTTTCAAACTTCTATTCAGTTCTTTGATCCGGAAGAACATCCTTGACCTAAAAAACAGTTTTTAACTTTTTCAGGGCAGTCAATGTTGCTGCTCTTCAACAGAAGTTGACCTATAAAATTTTGCTTTTTTGTCACTATTCCGTCCCCATTGAATGTAGTGAATACCTTGTTCAGCTTCTCAATTTGATTCATGAAAGTTGCGGATGGTTTTGATAATCCACCCTCACTAAGATGGTCTATCCATGAATAAGTTTCATTTGAGGAACTTTTCAACCTCTCATCCTGCAATTTATTGCAAACAAAGCCGGACAAATTTTCCAGCCCGTCATACTCGAGCTCATCTATTTCTTCCACTAAAACTTGCTCGGTATAGTCAGCTGATACTTCAGGTGCATTCAGTTTATTCTCGTTAGTGATGCGGTTAGTGGTTAGTGGAATGTCTGGAGTATCCTCTGACTCTACGCTGCAATAGGTACTCTGAGTATGCGCCTTCGTTTCGCCCCAACGTATATGACCATCTTTTGCCCAAATTACCCCGAAAAAGTTTTCTATCACATCTTGATTAAGACGTCTTGTTAACAGGTATTGGACGCTGAAGCGTCGTTTCAGATCCTCTAGAGAATTTTCTAGCAAACTCTAGCGCTTTTTACATTGACTTTGTCTTATCTTTTTGTAAGATGTAGCCATTTTTTTTGCTGAAGTTTGGGTCTTGAGGAAAACTGTGGAACTTCATGTCTTTGCAAAGATTCCGTTTAGATTGATTGTCGGAATTACATCCCACAAGAGCACACCGCAGTTTTATCAATCACACAGGGTATATAAGGTGGTTATAACTAATACTACAAGTCACAAAACCACCAACAAATCGCACTATATAGTATTAACCACGATACACGTGAACTGCAGTAACGTTACGACAATCCAGCCGCTGATAACCACGAGCCGATAACTCTCCGGGTGACGTCACGAAGTTCCGCCCACATGCGCAATATCCTATCTGTATCTGTATCGTGAGTCAGACCAGATACAGAGAAAAAAGTTCATACAAGAACAGGATCATTAGATTTCATGGCCACAGTGGTTCTTCAAAAAAAGTAAAGGATATGTGCCATTTCCGCAAAGACCGTGAATAAACCCCAATGCACCTACTTTGGCATTGCGAGGGCCTGTAATGGCTAAGGTTTCAGATATTTTGCATCCCCTATAAAAGGGGAATGCTGCAAGCCAAGCCCTGTCTTAAGACTTTGGGGCATAATTGGCAGATCAAAGATAGATGCAATGCTTTAGGCAGTATAAATTAGAAGCTATGATGGATTAATAAAAGTTCTATAGAAATTAGACGGCACAAAGTGTGATCTATTACCAGAATCGACTACCGCGAAAGTGAAAACAGCAAGCTGTCTGTTGGTATTTTATGCCAGTTCGCATTGCCAGCCGGGTTACCACTGTGGCCGTTAGATACCGCCGATTCTGACGCTAAGTAGATACGGTCTACTCACCATTGAACAAACTAGTAATATAGCTTTCGTTCGTCCGACCACAGACGTCCAACCATTGACAGCTTTTTCGTCCTATCTCCAGCATGGTGTATATTTAGTCTCGGTGGATAGCTTTCGTTCGTTGTCCATCGAGACAAAGCCTGCACCATGCTGAAGAGTTGGTAAATAGCACGAAATAGCTGTTCATGGTTGGTCGTAATCGGATGAACAAAAGATATATTACCAGATCTACATAAGTCGCAATATTGGTTGATTTGTGTTGTATCAACCCCTACAATATCATCTCCACTCACCAATCATTATTGTAGACATCTTAACACCAGCAATCTCATTGTTGCAGTGTTTCTATTACTTTGCAATAATCGAAGACTTCACGTTGCGATTCATCTGGGTGTTATCCGTGTACCTGACAGAAGCGGGCTACATCGGCAGCGATATAATGACCTCCGTATTAGCTCCTCTGGAGGTCTTCCGCAGGTTCGTGTGGAACTTCTTCCGATTGGAGAACGAACATTTGAACAACTGCGGTAAGTTCAGAGCCGTGAGGGACATTTCCGTAGCTCCAATCGACTCCTCGGATCAGATGCAGATCATTAGGATGATGGATGAAGAAGATGGCGTTGTGAATAGAGGAAAGAAGAAGCAACAAAAAAAGAAAGAAGAGAAGAGGCCTTTGCTAACTGATGAAGCCATAACTTTCAAGACTGTACCTATCACCATACAATCGTGATTCGAGTAAGCCATCGAATTTTTTACAGAGTATGTTTCTGAGTGATCAAAGAAATTTGTTCCTATCGTATATTATACAGGGCATTTCAGTATTCTGTGTTATTCTAAAATTTACGTCCTGATCCAAACAGGGGATTCAAAATTTAGGGAGGATAGAGGGAGCCCTATGACTAATTTATAATACTGGCATTTCACTAATACAGCCTTTTGTAATACAGTATATATCCGCCATGCTTAAATGTTAATTGTCTAAGCACATTGATGTTGCTTCAATGTAGTATGCAATTTATGTTACCGCAAATTCAGGAGAATGTGAACATTCACTGATACATATCACTATTCACGGAATAATTTTTTATATATGCCATACATGCGCCAGAAATATTATTGAAATATGAATATCTACTTATAAACAATAAAACAATCTAAATCACTTTAACACTATTGTAACATTAATGTTGTGAGGGCTTTGATTTGACTTCGGAACCGAATATATTCCATGTATATACGCACATAAGTCAGTTATTGTTATCAGTATGTTACGTCTTACATTACACAACTTCAGCATCATATATTGTAAATGACTACACTGGCTCACCTAGTGGCGCATCTTGACGTCTGTCTCGATACCCCGTCTCCCGGTTTACCAAAAGGTACACCTCTGGACGAGCAGCACTGAGCCAATGTTGCCGTTCACACTGATTCACACTGCTTGAGTTATATGTTGTAACACACATCATACACAATCTATTTGGATGTTGGGATATTTCATTCACGTACGCTTCGGATCAGAGCTTAGTTAAAAAACCGTGAAATTCTTGATAAGTTATAACATTTAGTTAGTCTTTGGAATGTCAAATTATTGGATTATTAGGGATGCTGGTCACACTTGAAAGACCAGTCAAAGTGGTGCATTCTGCCAAATTCTTAAATCAATCCACTAATTGACCTGTCAATCCCAAGCACTCCCTGCGATCAGAACTTTGTTCACAATATACGTTATATATGAGACTCTTTTGAAACGGCCAACCTATATTTGAGAAATGTTTATGTACTTACTGTGTCATGGTTCTCTTGACAACGACCAAATATGCTACGTATCAGGTATTTAGTAAAATATCTGTGTAAGGAGTTTGTAATAATAGGTAAATTTTTAATACGTTACTTTTGCCGTTGAAAATTCGTCCGTGGAATGCAAAACTGTTATGTCGCAATGTTTTCCTTTTTGAAGCAAGTAATGATATTTGTATCTGCAGAAATATCATAGATCTCATAATATAAAAACACTATGCCAACACAAGAAACAACAATCTATAGAGATATATTAGTACATATAAGTTACATTCAACAATCCAAACAAAGTTTGTGCATAAAAAGTTTTGCATTTGGGCGACTTGATATTACCCATGATGTAGTTATTTATTATACATAATTTGTATCTCCCATGTTAGAATTTTTGTTATTCTAATGTAATGTAGACATGTCCCCTTTTATACCATGTATAATGTTATATACCTTTCCTATTATATTTTGTATATTCGATTTATTTATATACATTCCTACAGGAAATAGTGCATAAGAAAAACGCAGCATGTATTTTATGAAAACAGTATATATTTTAAAAATAAAATGTTTTATACATATAAATACCTTTTCATTTGGAATCAAAATGATATCACAACTAAGCGTTTGCACACAGAAAGGAAAATGCACTATATACTTATATGTACATGCGTTTATTTTGGCTCACAGGCAGAGCGAATTTTTTTTGAAGACTATGTCAAGCGTTTCGAACGGGCTAACTCAAAAAGTATATGAGATTATATCATGGGCGACCAGTAAAATATATTTCGCGCTAAATATCTCGTTTACATGACGAAGGTAGAAATACTATAATGCAAAATTTGTCATCTTAATGAGCAACTAAAAATATATACAATATTCACTAGTATAAGGTAAAGCCCATTTCAACACATCCTCCATACTTTGATAAAGTAATCTCAAAACATATTAAAAAATGTACTACCTACAATGTAATAATAATAATAACCATCAAAATATGTCGAATACAAAATATAAAGTCTTTTACCTTAATGAAATAAAGTCTTGGATTTTACAGATCCAGGCCTTTTCCTAAGCCAGCCCAGTGATCTGGGACCTCCAAGAAATACCTGTGCATGGCTTCGATGAACCTTTTCTGGTAATCATCAGGTGATATTATTGTTGGCAGTTTACCTTGTCCACCCAGTAAACCACTCTTTTTCACAATCGTCTCTATTTTTTTGTCCCACGTGAACGTTCTTATATAATCTACAAAGATTCCATACAGTGCACTATAAATAGTTGGTAATACCTAATACTACTTGAAATTTCGATAACACACAAATAAAAATACATAACATATGAAACTTATCATGTGGTTTAAATGTCGATAACCTGAATAATGATAAACTGAATTTTAAGATGGCACCACGCAAAATCAGCATAGCTCAGGACCGCGCCTGAAGTAGGCATTCTTGTTCCAAAAAGGGGCATCTTGGGGCTACCAACCACAACTAGTTCACTTTGTATATTATACGTAAGAAGTTTATCAGAAAGACTTGAAGCTGTTCGCAAAAAATTTGTCAAGCTGTCCTCGAAACAACTAGCACACTAAGATCCCTACTGTGCCCCACAAAACCCAGCAATGAAAATGAAGACACAAAAAATTAAATATATAAAATAGACAGTGACTGCGATAAATTCTACATCAGTGAAACATCAAGACTGGTTAAATCTAGAATAAAAGAACGAAGGGAGAAACCCCAAAATCGGCACTTATCGAACATGTATGGGAAAGTCTCAATACTACATAAAGAGGATAACAATTCCAAAAAGGAAGATAAAGGAATCAGCCTATATGAAATTAAACAAAAATTGTCTTTCTAGTTCTTCTGTGGACTATGACCCAATTTGGTTGATTAATTGAAACGCGCAGATGTTCTTTAGATGTCGAAGTAGTATTTCTAGCAACATATAGTCTCGTGCTCGCTCGTCGTTTTCGAGGGCTGGACGTCCCTTTTTGGGAAAGGGAATGTCTACCCCAGGCGGTCCTGGGATATGCTGGTCTTGCGTGGTGCCATCTTAAGATTTGGAATAAATATTTCGTGCAATCTTTGAATGTTACTGGATTTTCAAACTATTCTTGTAACACACTGCATAGGAATTTGATAATGAAAATAGAAAACAAACTGTCACCTGGAAGACAGATAAATAAAATCTACACTCTACTGAAGAAAATCACCTCTGTGATTGAAACATTTACAGTAGAGAAGATTCGGTCAATACATCTGATTTTATTGGCTAGAGAAGCGTGGGAGATTACGTTTCAACATCTTGCAAATCGATTATTTGCAGTGATCAAAAATCGAGTTAAAAAACATTTGTCGAAAAAATTTCGTATCTAAATGCCGTAGAGAAAAATCACAGACTTGCTTAGGCTTAAACGAGAGAGTGCAATATTAAACAATGTCTTGCTGACGTCAGAGGTAAATGTGAAGGCATTTTTTGTTCCATGACGCCCATTTTTACTACCTGCATAGCAGACTACAATTAGACTAGCTAACACAAATTTATAAATTTTTTCAATAAAAAGTTCCTGGTAAGCGATAGCACAGTCTCAACTAGAATACTGCAAGTTTACTCACCTATGATTCCAAGCACAAGCTCCTTATTTTGCTCATCTAGGCCAACCAGCAAAGAGTAATCCATTACAGTTTGAGTTGCCAAAAACTCTGTATCGTTTTGTATAGCAGACATCAATACAGACTTGGAATGTGGTAAGATGTATAAAGGCGAGTCACACGTTACTAAAAAATGAAAACGAAAGAAATGGGTTTCTACATTCTGGGGGATACTATTTTTTGTCCTACTCACACTTCAACAAATTTTCATCCAATAGCACAATTTCTCCCTCCTGATTATCAGGTACGACCAACCTATTTCTAACGGATCCTTTAAGATCAAACTTCTGTTTCACTGTCCTGTTATAGAACAGATTTTCCATTACTAATAGGTTACTTCTATGAGGCACATTATTATTGTTTTTGAAAACAATTTGGTAAATCCCCACTATTTTCCCAATAATGTTGGTTGTCTAGTCGTGAAACATTTGTTCATGTAGACGAAATAATTGGCAGCATTTTCCAAAAATAGCTGAACTTCATTCTTGGACATGTCTTTCAATATGAAGCGGTCATCTGTAAAAATAGTGATAATAAGAAATGTGCAAATGCAAACTACTGCCTTAAGTGTCCAGACAGTTGAGAAACTCTGAAAAATGAAGTTTCGGATTTTTTCTTTTGGTCTTGACTCCGGTTAAAAATCTCTTGACTCTCTCTTGACTCTCTCTTGACAGTTTGAGAATATTCTTACATTTTTCGTGTTTTTTGTACAGGGCCTTCGTTCAATGAATATAGGACTACAGATCAATACTTTACGGAAATGCATCAAGAATTCATCTCCAACAAATAGAACAGATCCAAAATAAGTGCCTTATGCTGTGTATCGGGTATGAATAGCACTCCTATCAATGTTATTAAAGTCGAATGTATCGAACCTCCACTTCAGTTGAGACAAAAAAATGAAGGTCGACAGAGCTCTGGTCAAAATAGTCTGCAAGGCATTTATCAGTGAGATCCACAAGTTGTTTATAAACGGATTAACAGTGAATTATTGGCAACACAAAAAGCTACCTCTAATGCTATAAAGTTATGAGTGGCTTCTTTCTACTATCAAGAAGGTAGAATCCATGTTGCAGACCTGAATATTCTGCATATAGCTCTTCACCCGCAGAATTCCGAACCAGATTTATTAACATCATACAAATTCCGACACGATATTCAAGCACGATGGAGTTGATGGGAATATACATATGTATGTATCTTCACGGATGGCTCGATAAAGGAAAATTTAACGTGGTGCATTTTATCACAGCAACATTTCCTATCAGCAAGAATTCAAGTTACCACCTGAATGCTCTGTTTACACAGCACGGAATACTGTTTTGAATTCCAGGGAAATAATTTTGTTATTTTTACCGACTTTAGAAGTGCTGTATCAAAAGTGGATAATTGTCATCCCACTGCAAATCTTGATAATATAGTGGATGTCATCAACCGCATTCAGTAGCTGAATAGAATCAAAAAAACTCTAAACATGGTCTTGATCACTCAGTCATAAAAGAAAACGAGGTGGTAGATAATTTTGCAAAAAGAGCTACAACTAGAGGCGATTACGTCCGGGGATGAACATTTCTTTTACTGGCGTGCATTTTCTAATCAAGCAATGACTTAAGAATAAATGGAATAACCATTATAAACGCAATTCAACCGGAAGCAACATGAAACAAATACAAGAGACTCTTTGAACCAGAGGTTTCAAGAAATTACCAATCGTCCTTACATTAGAACTTTGAGTAGATTAAGACGTAGCCATGTCTTGATACCCCACCATAAATTAAGAATTGAATACGGATGATCCACATTGCAGTTACGGAAATATAGGAACCTTACAGCAAGTCATATTAGAATGTTCAAATTCTAATAGAAAAAATACCGAATTGCATCAAACTTTATCGAAACACATTTGCCTCTAAATGTTATACTCAATTACTAGTTCTGAGAACCAGCAAACTTGTTAGCTTTTATACAAGTGTAAAACGAGCTTAACACTATAAGATGTACATTATAATAAGTATGTTTAAAGAATGAATTAAAACAAGAAAATAATTAAAAATAGATCAGAATAAAGTAAAAATTATATCAAAGTAGAAACAAAAAAGAAAATAAAATAGAAAACAACAGATGTGCAATCTTGGAAATAAAGTGGAAGAAACAAAGTAGACAAAAAAAGATTGGTTAAACAAAAAAAATAACCTGATAAATACAGCAATATAATTGTACTCGCATACAATATGTAACTAGAAATAGAATAGTGGTAATATTAAGTAACCGATATTCTATTATTTGAGCATGACATTGTAAATATTGATCTGGCTAGATAGTCATCGAGCAGTATCAATTACGGAAAAAAAAGACTACGCTAAACCTACCAGCATATCTGCCTTTTACGCTAGACAACATGAGCACATATAAATAATAATAATTGTATGCAGTCTATGAATCATATATATTTAGAAATGAAAGAATTCTGTGATCAAAGTTGCTAAAATGGTAATAGAAAATATCAAACGAGTTATGATTAAATATGTTATCATGACTAACTGGAATTACTACTTCATATTGAAATAATAACCTGCTGTTTTAGCAAAATTTGATCCAGATTTTCCTCCTCTAGCATTCCACTGTGCAGATCGTGACAAAGATCTTATGTATTCCTCCTCTCCTATGGGCAGAAAGTTCGATCTAAGAGCGGCGAACTTTTCCGCCATGTATACTCTACAGAAAAAGTTGCAGTTTGAGTCTTCGAACTGCACCTCAATGTGGGTGTTACGATTTTTCTTTGGATGCTCGGACTTTTCTGTCGTAGCCGTAGTTTGCTCGGTGCTAAAAAAAAACGCCGAACTTATACAGGGTGTCCCATTTTAATCTCCCTACCCTAATATTTCGACAACTACGTATCCTAGAAAAAAGTTTTAAACAAATACTTTCGAAATATTTTCGTGGGAGATTAAAATGGGACACCCTGTATAGCGGTTAAATCATCTGTCTTAAAATTTAAACAAATCAATGTCACGTACACAGTTTCGGTATTATTTGTAGTTTGAACATTAGGTTCAGTCTTTGAGTCCTTTTCTTTTCTCAAAAAACCCAAGATACTCAAACTCTTATCATCTTCATTTCTATCCTTATCACTCTGCCCCTTCCTTTTACTTAAAGGACTTTGCGTTTGATCATTGTTCTGATTCTTCTTCGTCACGAGCTCCTCAAAAGATTTCTTATAGTCGCTTGAGCTAAGTGTATATGCTACTATAGAGCTTGGTTCATTTTCGTAAACTACTATAGGAACAGAAAATTCTGGTAGCAGATAATGTTCTTGACTGCTGAACGGAGACTAGAAATACACAGAAATTCGAGAATGAATACAAATAGCTAAAAGTCATCCACATCAACCAGAGCCCGAACGCCTCCTAATTTCGCTCCTTCGTCAGGAATGAATGTTATATTAGTCTAATTATATTAGCAAATTTCCCCGAAATAATTGTAAGTCGTGTTTTATTGATGTAAGTTGTTCAAGGAGGTATTTAAAACATGGACGCATAAAACGGGTACAATTGAATCCCAAAAAATACGTTTTCGCATTTTTTGTTGTAGAATAAAAAGTTTTCCCACAAAAATTGGTGTACCCATTCTATGCGTCCATGTTTTAAATACCCCCTTGGACAAGTTTCATCCAGACAAGACTTTACAATTATTTCGCAAACCAGTGGTATTTTCGTCTAATATAATTAGACTATTTAGGGCGATTCAGAAAACAGGGCCAATATTCTTAAGGCACAAAGTAGATAAAAAAGTAATACGAAAAGTCCATATAAACATGAGTACTAAAATGTTCCCAACCACGGGCGCTTATTAGAGGGGCACGCGGAGCATATGCCCTCTAAAATATATCTAATAGGCAATACCCATTTATTAAGCAACCAGTTTCATGTGTGTTTGAAGAAACATCCGCGAAAATTATCTTGCTATCTCTGAATAGGTTACTTGACTCATATCCAATTTCATAGAATAAATGAGTATATCTTACAGTATTTGCCTAAGGAAAACGAAATATATCGATTTCAATTTTTAAAAGCGCAAGATGTTTTTTATTTTTAATACGAAACGGTAAAAACACCTTCGGCCATGATGTGACGTCATTCAAATTGTAAACACAGAAACGTCATCCGTATGTCACTCGTTAGACTAACGTTGTCTTCGTTGAATATTTCTAAAAAAAAATACCTAATGAACGCAAGCAGTTGTCGTTTTCTCGTTTTATTGAAAAATAACATATAATGATACACATAAAAAAAGAATAAGTAATACACTCACACAATCTTCCTTTCCAGAATTCGTTCAAAACTGAGCTCATGCTCATCTCTGAATAAATCAGTAAGGGAATCGTACGGTGATGATGCCGAAGGTTACGTCCAACTCAAACGAGACGATACAGTCTGCACAGTAAAATGTAAAATATGTCTCGAGCATAAAGTATGTTCCGAGCAGTACACAGTGTTGCGTATATCTATTTCCCTGGGCTCTCTAATCCACAGCTTTCCTGGGGTCTTTATCGAGCGGTACAATAGCGATAATTACCAAATTTTTCATGTAAACTACATAGCAGAAGTCATGTTTATATGTTTAAAAGTTTGAGAGGTTATGCTGTTTACAAATTGTATGACGTCAGATCACAGTAATATGGGCCAAACATGGTGGACAGCGTTCTTGCCTGTCTAAGAAAAATATATTTTTAAATTGAAAATGTACAGTCTTTTAAGGTCTGAAATAACTTTTAACACCTTCGCTACATTGATATTTTGTTAATTTAGGATAAATTCCTACTCTGGAAATATGTCGTTTTTTTCTGGACAGGCATGTATACAATGTGATATAAAATTAAGCATCCATAATACACATACCGGTATCAATGTGGAATTCACTGAAGATGGCAACAAATGGGACAAAATATTCTTATATTTTTTTTCTTCTTTCTTACTATCTGTAGATTCTTCAACCTGTGATATGACGGTCCCATCAGACTGTGATCTATGATGACTCTTTGGAGATGGAGGCACAGAATCGCCTACAAAAAATAGTCATATAGAACTGACTTACTCTGTTGATCTTGCGCTTGAATGATTGTTCAATCCCTTCTTTTACTGAGGCAACTATATCACACTTACTATCACTATCTAAGCTTTTAATTTTTTTTGACAATGTATTTGGTGTTTCCTTCTCTATTTGTATATTAGTAGGCTCTTGCGACTCTTGTGTATCCTCCACAGACTTTTCAATTTCAGTAGAAGTGTTTTTTTCCTTCTTCTTATCACTATCCTTCTTTTTGTTTGTTAGATCATTTAGCCTGGCGTTCCAAGTTTCTATAGTTTCAACAATTGATCTTTTCAGTCTTATGACGTCGTCTAATACTTGGCAATAAGCGTAACGCACTTCTGAAAATGTAACGAATAACTTTTATTTTATCTTAGAAGACTAAAATCACACATATTTTATCGCCAGAATTCCATTCATTTACACATGAAAGTCAAAGACTGAATGTTTAGATGTAATGTTAATTCTTGAGAAAAAAAATTTTAAATTAAAATTTATAACTATGACGAACATGCCTTTTTCATCGAACTCCTTATTTTCAATAGTTGGAGAGGTTAACTTAATTTGTACTTTTTCCACTTTTTGCTTGAACTGAACCTGCTCATTGGTCAATGTCTGCCTGAACACGGTGTTCGAATCTGATTCTTCTGACAGACCCGCGAGCTTGTCATGGATGAAGGCAAATATCTCGTGCCCCTTCTGAGACATCACTCTGATCTCATCAATTAACTGAGTGTGGAGTTTGGAAGTAGTGTAGTAGATCAGGATCAACGTTGGGGAAGTGAGATATCCCAGATATTAATCGCAGAATACCTAAAAAATATTTTTGATTGTAAGTCGAAGTTAAAACGTGAAAATACAGTTAGAATAACTTGTACAAATTTCTTTTGTTGTTGCTCCAGTTGTATAGATTCCACCGACGCGCCATAAAAGTTGACAAAACACGAAAAAACGTACCTCATAAAAGTTTGCCCACTATACTGTATAATATTAGAGTCATATCCAGCATGACACAAAACAATGCATGATCAACTTTCAACAAGGTGTTTCCCAATTACGTTACGAGACATCAGGTGATGATTCCTTGGGTTATTTGAAAAAACAAATTTCTATGAACATATGGCCAGAGTTGCTTCGTTTTTGAGATATAGAACGTTGGAGTTTTAAAAACGATATTTATAAAATACAAATATCCCTAAACCGATTTGTTTCCAACTTGGTGCAATTATTTGAGGTAATATGGCGCTTATTTATCTCTATCTAGATTGAAATTATTTGGTCCTGTGGTGTATCAGTGCGCACCAGAGCCATATTATTGAGGTAAAAGTGACTTTATTTTGTAGTTTTTATATTTTCATTAGTTTAAGCAACTAAAAATACAGATTTTTCATCTCTTGTGCTCTTTTCATATCTTGTTCACTATAAAAATACCAAATCTGTTTTTTAACAAATCATCGCCAATCACGTACTCACTTACCTTCTTTGAAGACAATTTCAAAGTGATAGTATTGTCATATCAGTAAAATTCAGTTGACAATTAGCAGTGATTCCATCATGAATAATTTTACTAACGTTGAAATGGCTGGCATGTACTTTATTTATGGATTAGCAAATGGAAAAACCGAAGAAGCGCGGCACGTTTTGCTTGCTTGCATTTATAGCCGACCCTGGAGAGCCGGGTAGAAAATTTTGTAAATTTTTGAAAGTTATGAAAATATTTATCTTAAAAACCGTGAATAGTTCGAAAATTTTGTTGAATTGTAAATTAAAAATTCCACAAACTTATAAATTATCAAACTGTTGAAAGCTTTGAAATTATAAAAAATTTAGAAAATAATGAAATTTTTGATAATCCATTGATGGGAGGATTGTTCTTGAATGTTGAATGACCAATGTCACTAGACAGCTGAAATATCGCACGGAAATTATTAACTACCTTCCTGAATCTCGCAGTCAACATTTTTCATTCGACAAAATCTCGCGAAACTCTCCATCTATCGACAAAATGGCAAATTACAAACCCAAAGGTGAGATGTTTGAAAATACTTCGATATTGACCTCCTGTTGCCATCTTAATATCAAATAAATTGTAAATTAAGAAAAGTGACAGCATAGTGACAAACGATGAGATTCTAGGACACCCCCCTGAAAGTTTCAAGGATTTTGAAAATTCAAGCGTCCTGTGCACTATATCTCATAATAATAATACTTTGTAACAAGGTTTCATCCTATGTCTCCTATCCTAGTATTTCACCCCTTTCCTAAGTATATTTTTCAAAAGTTTGAAATTGATTGATTAAATTTACCAAAACAATCAGAAATGGGCAATAAATTAACATTGCTTACGTAATCACCATTCAGAACCCCTAGTCATGAAAAGTAAGCATAGTAAAGGCCCTCCCACCCCCTTTGGAGCTTGCTTAATACTTGAGTGACCCCATACTTACTTGAAGGAAGCTACATAGTTCTTGTACCCGAAATATTGATAATGATCATGATGCAGGCTATGCGAACATGCGGCCGGTCCTCGACGCCCGAACATATCCCCGTAGTACTTGAGCTCCAAGTACTTAGCGAACGAGTACGACCAGCTGTCTGCTGACAGCGGCGCCACTGGACTGACGCACTGGCACTTGGTGCACCATGTCCATGTTACAATGTGCTCCTCGCTGCTGAATTCGCTGTCGTAGTGGTTAAGGTAGACACTTACACAGCCCGTATTGTGGACAAATCTTTAAATAACAAATATATTTATATTTACTTTGTAATCAGAGTTGTAGACAGTCGCTAGGGTTGATACATATGAGTATTATATACTTGTAAGTCAATATTTCTACTTTTCAAGGTGTTAAAAAATCCTTCTTCCTCCAAAAGATCTGAAACTACTATGCCATGATCCCATAACACCTCATTTACTCTAGTCAATTCATTGTTTAAATGGAGTTCATAATTATTTAACAGCTAAATGTTGGCATGTACATCTTTTATAAACTTGTCCCTGTTTTATTATGTTCCAAATTTGACAGAAAACAAAAGATGTAATGTGACCATAGTGATGGAACGTCAATTGGAATATATTCTAAAAATAAATTAAAAAGTAAAAATCATTGATTTTACTAAACATCTGTAATTATCAGAAATATCAATAAAACGAAGAAATTGCGACACTAAAGAAGTTAAAATCTGGGGTTTCCTATCTCCAGCCTGCAGCAAATGGCGTTTAATTTGGATTCATAGCCTCTTGTTTGTTACTAAAACGTCAGACCATTGATTAACATATTCCACCAAAACATGGTAAATCCAATCTAAAACCATGCCTGCGCGAAAATAAGCACACGTAGTGTGAATCCGCCAACTATTTATGCTTACAACTATATATCTAGTGAGCACCATCTTTAGGGTATAGCATTGTCACACCTAGAACTATTGCTTATCTATTGTTGAGAAATTATGAGAATACGAAATCTGAATCATTTTACATGGAAGATGATTATTGCAAAAAACTACAGTCGTAACTATGCCGAAAAAATTAGCTGTCGGTTTACACGTGAGAGTGAATATGTTCACCGTATGAAAGTGAAGCATTCTCTTTAGAACCTGTATTATACAGCAAATAAAAAAGTTGTCTACCTGAAGATAGCCAACCACATGCCGTATTCCGGCGTCCAAAAATAGATTTGGAACGTACTACCGCGACCTATGAGACACAACACAAAATGAATCTGATACTGTCTCATAGATAGCGCTAGGATCTTCAATACCTTGCCTCTCTAACGTCTATTTCAATTTTGTATCTTTAGGTGGAATACGTTAATATGGAAAGATTGAACGCAAATCCTATAGAAGATGTTTTATAACTGCGAAAATTTGTACTAGAATTCCATTCAACTGTTGAAAGGACTACAGATTCACATGAATATTTTCGGCAAGGAGTAATCACGAGGGAGTTTGATGAGTGATGATTCCATGGAAAAATGTTGTTTAAGAATAAGCATTTTGGGAAATGACTTTTTTTATTACTTGTAAGGGAACTACTCCGATTCTATTTGAGAATGTGACTATAATAATGGAATTTATATGTGAACGTCCAAATCCAGCATAGGTCATCTTATTGAAGGGTATGTTAACCAATGCTGAAACCCAGTTAATAACCTAGGTCTGATCAAATCACAGAGATAATATACAGTGCATACCTCCTTATATGATTTTCCATAGGAGTACCACAGGTCTCTGATGGGCAATAATACGTAGGACGGAAGCAATAACGCTCCAAGAAGCATCCAAGTGGAATATCATTTCTTCCATAAAAATCCATATAAACTACCCTGAAATAAATAAACAAAATTATATAAATTAAATCGGCACATCGCACACACACATAAAAAATAGGTATTCTAACAATTACTTTACCACTTACCATGGATTTACACAAAATGCAGGGCTGTTATTCGATTCATAGCTAAAACTGCAAAACAACACAGCTAGCCTCTGATGATTTTTTGGATCTAAAGCATCTTTAGATTCCTCCGCAGCATTCGACTGGTCTTCCGCTTTTTTCTCCGGCTTACAGATGTTTTCTCTCTTTTCATATCTTCCTCCACAAGCTCTAAAATGCGCCAATAAATTTTGAGTTTGAACGTTGTCCACACTAGTTATATTAGTAGTAAGAAACGGATGTAATGGTTTCAAATTCTTCTTGTTCTCCTCACTTTCCTTAAAGTTCTCCGCCTCTTTCCACTTATTTTTTTTGCTGAAGCTCGACTGTTCATAGAAGTAGATATCCTTGGGGAAAAACTCTCTAAGTTTGCACTTCTTTCCGGCGTCCAGTTCCAAATACGGAACCGGAAAAACAATATAGGGCGACAGGCACAGAATCGAATCATCCAGAGCTTTCCGAAAGTGGTTAGCGAATGGTAACTCAGCAACTTTCAGATCCACAAAACTTTTCTTTCTTAGGTTTGGGTCTTCATCAGATTTGTAGGAATGCAAGGGGTCGGTAAAGTCTTCTACTTTTTCTGCAGTGATTTTTTACCTATAAATAGCGTCATTATTCTTAAATGGTCTTATTGATGGAAATGCTTTGGTTTCATGATTGAAACTGATTCACAAAGTTTAGAAAAAATCTATGATTGGAATCAAAGTAACTTTATTTGCAAGACCTACTTCAAATGGATCAGCTCAATCAAGGTTGAAACGGTGCATCTTACTACTTGTAAGATGGCAATCAAAACATGAAAAACTCATAAAAGTAGGCTGCATTTTTGAAAAGAAACAAGCATTCAAAAATACAGTTCGAAAAATCTTACTTTCACTCTGATCAATTTTGTCCTCTTTGTGACTCCTCCTGATTTGAACCTTTTCCTCCTTCTTGTCTTCATCCTGAGCGTAGGTATCTCTGTCTCGTTTTGAGTCCATGAATCCTGGAGAATTTTCTTTGCTACTGTCATCTAGGAATTCGCAACTTGGATTTGGAGGCATAGCAAACTCGTCCATGAGAAACGATTTCTCCAGGCGCCAATTGTATGCTGCAAAGAGTAGCAGGGAACATACCTGCTTGACTTGGGCTAGTTCAGCTCTAGAACCTCCCCTAAGAAGCACTGTAGCTCCTAGATGGGAAGATGGCAAACCCTCGAAGAACATCAAAGTTTTCATGCCACCTGTGGAAGAATAATCGTGAGTTTACTTTAAAATCTCACTTTATAACGTATACAAACTATAATTATTACGTAAAAAACCTATATAACTATATAATGTCAAAAATATCGGCAAGATGATAACGTGTACACTAGGTAGTCGCTACTTCATTCCGCGCCTACTATATGTGCATGAAGTAAATGTCACTTAGGTCAAAGGTAACATTTTATAGGAAAACCTACATAATGTCATAAATAGTCGATATGTCACTTTTTATACTTTAAAATTAATAACATTGACTGATCCCTTTTCTAAGTCATATAATCCCTACTAATATTGTAAATTTGTTTGTTAGTTTTAGATTTATTCAGCATTAATGCTACAATATCCATGTTACGCAGTATAACACATAATATACTAAGTGACATATAAATCCGAACACCCAGTTTAAATGGTTTTATTTTAATAAAATTTTGTATAAGTACTTAACGAAGCATAATAAGTAAATGATAAAAATTTCAAAATGATTGCACTGCTTTAAAGCCCTTTGACCTTTAATAATGTGTGGATGCACCCTGATGTGCTACGCATTCTCCAACGCGCCTAGGCATGCTTCTGATCAGGTGGCCAATGTCCTCCTGTGGTATCTCATTCCAGGCAACCACCAACTCCTCTCGAAGTGCTTCTAGAGTCTGAGGAGGACGTTGCAAATTGAGCAATCTCCTACCCATCATATCCCACACGTGCTGAATTGGGGATAAGTCGGGAGATCTTGGTGGCCATGGTAATAATGTGACATCATTATGTTGAAAGAAGTCTATTGTGACTCTTGCAACATGTGGTCGGGCATTATGTTGTTGGAAAGTTGGATCTGCCAGGGTGTCAAGATAGGGTAAAAGATGGGGTTCTAGAACTTCGTGGATATAACGCTGCGCGTTCATGTTACCTCTGATGAAGGTTAAAGGTGACCTGGAACCATAAGCTATAGCACCCCAAACCATAACTCCAACAGTGTGATTAACATGTCTTTCAACCAAAAACTGTGGATTCCTCCTTTCACCACGTCGCCTTCTAACCCTGGCACGACCATCGTGCATGCCTAAACAAAATCGAGACTCGTCACTAAAGACAATACTGTTCCATTCCTGATCCCAGAGTGACCGTTGTCTGCACCATTCAAGGCGATTACGTCGGTGTTCTCGAGTTAAAGGGAGGACCCAGTGTGGCCGGTATGAAAACAAGCCAAAACTTCTCATTCGTCGGTAAACACTTCGCATGCCAATAGGTCTTCCGTGTTCTGCAAACCATTCATCTGCACCTGGTAGTGGAGAAACGGTCCCTTAAGGCCAATAATCTTAGGCGGCGATCTTCACGGTCTGTTGTTCTACGGCGGCGTCCAGTGCCCCTTGCTCTTTGCGTACGGCCTTCTCGAAGCCATGCCTGACAACACCTAACCACAGTGTCTACACTTCTTTGCACTCTAACTGCAATTACCCGAAAAGAAAGTCCAGCTTCCCGAAGTCCCACTATACGGCCCCTATCAAACTCACTAAGTTGACGAAATCGTACAGGTCTCCGTACTCTAGGCATCGTAACCGATCGTAAAGGATGTCAAGAACCAAAATCCGCCAACGTTGATTTTTTAATGCGGCTGAAATATTCATTTTTAGAGCGTTAGTGAATTAAAAAAAAGCAGTATAAAAACCGGAATGTCCAACTGATAAGGCTGAACATTTTTTCACTTGTTATTTACAGTAAGATAAATACATTCACCAACTTTTATTAAAATAAAACCATTTAAACTGGGTGTTCGGATTTATATGTCACTTAGTATATATACTGTCTTCAAGACTACATATTTTTATACAAAACTTCACTCCTATGAATTTTGGTTTTCCATGAAATATTTTCTCAATTTCCCCTTGAATATTTTCAAACTAGCACAAATCTTGATATCATTACTTAATTTATTAAATTCGTACATTGACATACTGACTTGCTCGTTATATTGCTACTACAATTTTGTAAATGAAAGTCTATACTCCCTCTAGTAGAATAACTATGATACTTATTGTTCAATACAATAAAATTTTCTAAGTGATTTGGTAGATAATTTTTAACTTGAATCTGAAAATGAAAACTAAGTAAGTTATGAAATGTTTGATATTTAAAGATTGTAGTTCTTTCAGTATAAAATTTATTCTAGTATATTTATTTTTATTTTAGATTATTCTCACAGCTTTATTTTGTAATACGAGGGGCACGCTGTATATTTTGAGATGCTCATTAACTATACTACTTAAAACCGGCAACAGTGCACTATTAGAAAGCGCGGTCCTGTATTAGTAAGTCGCCGCATTCACTTCATCTGCAAGCGTCTTACAGCGCACGTGTTGTAAACAAATTTAAGATGAAACATGGAGCTGTCTAGAGAGGGTTAAAGCACTATGATTTACTATGACTTTAAAGTTTGTTTAACTGAACATCAATATATCGAACGGTTGCAACTGGCATTTGGTAATGAAGCTTTGTCCCGGGCAAGTGTGTTTCGCAGGTATGCCGAATTTAAAAGAGGGCGTGTTTCATTGGCTGATGAAGAACGTAGTGGTAGGCCATTCTAGTGTGACTCCAGAAAACATTGCTAAAGTTCAGCGGCTAATTGAAGAAGATTCTCGCTGCACATATGTGACTATAGAGGGAACTCTTGGGGTACAATCCGCAACAGTGCACACCATTTTGCATGATCATCTTCATTTAAAAAAGTTGTTAAGAGATGGGTGCCACATCAGCTTACTGATTTCCAAAAGAAGGAGCGTGTTAGGATTAGTCGGAAAACATTGGAAATGTTAAACAATGGCCGTCATCGTATTCATTCAAAAATAATAACAGGTGATGAAACCTATATACCGTTTTATGACATTCCTACACGTCAGGAAAGCCGAGTGTGGATTCATGAAGATGACCCTACACCAACAATCGTGGCGGAACAGAGAGGCATGTACGCCGTTTTCTTTCGCAGCAGGTTAGTAAAAGCAATTAAGCTGGAAGAACAGCGTACAATTACGGCAGATTGTTACGTCAACAGATGTTTGCCAGAAGTTCTCGAAGCTGTAAATGTTAGGGGTGCAATCATCATCACGACAATGCCTCTAGCCACACTACCCAACTAACTGTAGACCTTTAACGCCAGTGCCGCGTCAAAATGCAAACATAGGTTTGAATCCCCTTCTTCAATTGACTCCACTATCTCGTTTATACTTTGTATAAAATAAGCGTTTATTCGTTCTGCAATCAATATTTTCTGTGTTACTTTACCATCTTCGAAGCACATTCTCGATAATTTATTCCTTTTACTGCGATTTTTTTAGTGTCTTCCACATCAGTTCACTGTAATTTTTATAGCTATCGATTTATTATATATATATATATATATAGGTGAAAAATTAAAGCTTCCGCCTTTTGTTGGGTACTTCGTCGAAGTCGAATTTTTCACCTAACTGGTCTAGACGACAATGACCACGTCTCAAGTTATATATATATATATATATATATATATATATCTATGGTGCGAGGGTAAAAGAGTAGAAGTCAAGTTTTTGGGAAAATGAGTTCAAGTCGTCAGTATACGTAATAAAACGGTGTCTATAGGCTGGTCTAAATGGTATAAGTAAATACTTCATATTAATGCTGTTATTAAACACGCACTATAATAGTATAATTCTCAAAAACTTCTATTTCTGGTGGGAACATCAGCATAAGTATACTTGTAATAGGTGGCACCACCAAAGAAGGCTTGAAATATCGTGAGCGAAACAGTACAAGTAGACTTATACTGTTTTACACGCTTACATCGATAATATTGTTCCGCGTCGTTCACCACGTGTTGTATTTTGAGGTTATGTCACCAACGTGTTGCATTTTATTCAAGTCTCTGTGATAACCAATACCATGGCATCAGAAAGAACCAAAAGAATACTCAATTTGGCTCGAGCAGATCTAGGTAAGTTATTATTTTATAAATTGGCAATAAAGTTGTTAAACGTTAAACATTGGTAGGGCTGTCGCCACTTGAAGTCTTCTAACCCGTGGAAAGAACAGCTTCCATAAATGACATATTTGCTGATGCTGTGTTTACTGCAGACGATTTAGAGGATGTCAGAATAGACAATAAAGGTACGTTTTTTGATAATACGTTAATTTGTACTTCGCACGCGTAGGCGAAGTTGTATGACCTGTATATCATGTAAAACCATATCTTTCGGACGGGTTGTTTGCCGGTCTGTTTGTCTGTCAGTCAATTTGTCTGTTGGCATTTTCCTTTGCGTTCGATCTTGGTAACTATGTGCTATGGAGTCGTAGTCGGTAGTTTTTTAAAAACAATACAAAAATACTAGATCATTCCCAAAATGGTTTTTGTTTGTTTTTCAGGTTCCAGAAAATTTAAGAATGTATTCGGAACATTTCTTAGATGACTCAAGTTTTTTTTAACGACCCAAATCTCATTTTTCCATGTTTTCGATATTTAGAATTCTTTAGATTACTTCATCTGTTTTTTCACTATGTATTTCCAGATGAAATGCTCGTGGAAACTGTGAATCAGACAGTTTCATCAAATGAGACCGGAGTTGGAAAAACGCAACTGGAGGACGCAGTTCTACATGAGCAGGATTTAGACGATGATGACAGTGTGAAGGACAAAAACAATGATCCGGAAGATGAGTTGTCATCAAATGTTTGTAGTAGCGATGATGAAGTTTCATTAGCTTTGGTCAAAAAAAGGTTGTGGGCAAATAAATCAGATATCCTTGAAAACACAGATGCTGCTGCAGTAAATACAAAAATGAGGTTGAAAGACGGACCTAATTCCCGGAAAAAACGGAATGAGCGGAAAGAATGTCGAAATACAGGGAGAAGATACGTTACAGCAAAAGGTAAAGAAGTAAAACAACGTAAGATGATACCTTTACCAATGTGTCGATTAAAACGTCGAGATAAAATAACAGAAACTACAAGATCAATTATATTTCAAGAGTACTGGGCTCTTGGAAACACAGACAAACGAGTTACTTATATTGCAAACCACTCGGAGACCACGAAAACTGCAGTAAAAAGACAGAGGACAGATAATCCAGAAAAATCGAGAAACAGGGAAATAAGCCACACCTTTTACTTTAAAATTAATGGTCAGAAGACTAAAGTCTGTCGGGGATGTTTCATGAAAACCTTAGGTGAAACACAAATGTTTGTTACACTGGCGTTACGAAATTCTAGTAAGTCAGTTTCTGGGATAGTTCGTAACGATAAACGCGGTTGCCATGAACCTGCCAACAAATTTGATGCAGAGGTATTAGACCAAGTGATTCAGCACATAAATTCCTTTCCTTCATATGAATCCCATAAGTCTCTAATGCTTCATTATTTAAGTCTGAAACCCACGACCTTAATCATTGGTAATTTTGTATGGCCTACATTAACTTTATAAGTCTGTCCAACACTTTTTTCTATTTCAAATTTCAATCTTTTGATATCATCCATATCTTTGCACTCAATTTTCAGTGCTCCATCTTTCAGATCGTTTGTTTTATTTAATAGACACATTCATTTTTGCTGGATTTATATACTTGCTCAATTCCTTCTTTGTTTGAGTACAACTTTGTATTAATACGTTTGATAACAATTGTATTTTCCGGTTGTTTCTATTTTTAGTATATTTTACCGTTTCTTTTGGAGATGGCGGGGTAATGTTATTTTCATGTTTAGAACTTTTAACCATGTTTGCATATGATTTACTGATATTTTCAGATGTATTTTGTAAGTTCTCGATTTGTTTATTCAGTTTATCTTTTTTTTTTTGAGATCATTTATCAGTTTTTCTTGTATCGCAATGGTATAGTCTTTTATCTTTGAACTGTCTGTTACACAAAATCCTTTTTCTTCTTGTGATACATTCACCTCATTTGCTTTTTCGCCAGCTTCAGCCTCATCTTCATCAAATGAGGAAGTGTGGATGTTATTACTCAATCACTCCGTAGGTAATAGTTGTACGAATGTATCTGTCGTTTTTTAACAAGCCCAATGTCCCCGTCCTTTTGTTCTTATACTGAACACAAGTTCGATCTTCTCTACGTTCTTTCTGAAACACCTTGTGGCTGCAACCTCACCGACGAAATCCTGATGATGGCTCCATAGAGAATGCCGAAAGCTTGATTTTATCGTCAAAAGAGTCAACTTTAGCCTAAAAGTTTTGCCAATTTCCCAATTAACAAGTAATTGTATATATATATGATATTAATTTATCGTTACACTGAAATGTTGAATAAGAAATGTTTATTGCCAAAGTAACTATTGCATTACTTTGAATATTGCATTTTTTTCTCCGAAACCAATCTCCACACTAATGCAAAACGAATGACTTAACACTTTACACTACTTCTACGCGGGCGGAGCTGCCGGTTTAGTCTATATACATGTTTTCAAGTGCAATTATATTATAGGCTTTTTAGTTACATGTTAATTCATTTTAATGTTTTCGTCTTTCCAGTAATACCTTGAGAAGAGTCAGTTTATTTTTGTTTTTTCTGAATGTTTGAATGAGCGAACCTCGTGGATAATACGAAACTTTACTTGCAATAATTGAACATACCTGCGTATCCGGATCAACCCGAGTAAATAAAAAAAAAACGGTACCCGCCTGCGACAAAAGTCCGGGTATGGGAAAATCCTAATTATCAGCAAAACTATACAAGTATCATAGGAAGCGAAAATGGCAAACTGCATCGATAGTACCTGCCTAGTGGCGCTTGAATTGTATGGTAGTAAAATGGTATCAGGAATAACCTCTGTCAATGTTAAAGTTCTCAACATGGAACCTCTTGCAAGTGCCTAACTTTGGCCTTCCAATATGGGCATCCACAGCAGTGACCAAATCAGCGTTAGTACACCTAGCCAACCTCTCTAGCACAGACCTCTTCACATTGTGTACTAATACGATCTGGTGCTCCCTGAGAAAATCCTGAGCCAATCTAGAAACGTTTCGTTGCACCAAAACGACATCTGGTCGTAGAGCCACGATCCTGGCCGAAACATGACGCAGGTATTCATGTTCCTGAAACGAGAGAAGAAATTGAACTAAAATGAGTAAGAAAACGCAAAAACTCGAATGAGTGATTATTTACCTGCATTAATACTGGTTCAAGAGACATCAATCTGCCTTCAGTTCTTTGGTATACAATGGAACACTGAAGAAGTAATATCTTTGGGTTTTCAATATCAGTTGCCATACGTTTGTGAGCAACATTTTTGCTACAAACTATTCCTTTTACCAATGTCGTATATGTTCTATGACGTCCAGAGAGGATTTTAAGCTTCACATAGTTTCTTATGTCTAGGTCAACTGCATCATGATTAGCATCTACAAAAATACTTATGTTGAAGGCATTTTCAGTTATTTTGTTTCCCGTTGAATTAATGTGGGCTCGGCTGATGACTCTTATTGCGCATACTATCTAGAAAAGTTAATTACAAAAATTGTACCCAAAAGTATGCTCCTTACTTGGAAAGTATTTTAATCTTTACAGGGTGATTCATAGCTTTGCGGTGATCCACATATGCATTTTTTAAATGAAAAGCATTACATTTTATTGCAGATTTGGATAGACCCTTTCAAACGAAGCAAGTTGAGACATTTGACAATCTATCGAATAAAACACTGAACTGCACCTCTGCAACTGTTATAGCTTGAGTATTATTTTTCATAAAAAAAAATCATGATGCCATATTTTGTTCCTGTCAACTTGGTTTTTCAGTTTTTCTTGATAGTTTATAATGGGTAATCAACAAGCCAAAACGAATGATTTCTCAAAAATTTCAAATCTATATATTGACACTTTTTGATTTCCCTTTTCTTAAGCTTTTTTCTGATGTCAGGTTTATGGGGGTTTGTATGACCGAAATTTGAATTGCTAATAACGACTTTATTGCATAAGGCTAGGTAGATTTAATTTATAATGAAAATACGTCTTTCGTTACCAACTATATGTGTCCTTTTGTTTAGTTCTATTGTAAAATTGCTCATTCGCCTTGCTATCTGATTTATAAACAGGATAGCTGTAACTCAAAACCCCAAAGGCATCAATAGAGCTAGCGGAAATGGGAATCAAGGAATATGAAAATGCACAGGATATTCCATTAAAAAGTCTTGAGAAATCGTTCATTATGCGTTCTTGACCTTCCCTGTATAATCTGTTCAAAAAACTGGAAAAGCAATTGGATAGGAACAATATATGGCATCAGAAATTTCTCTTAACGAAAAATTCAGTACACTAGTTATAACAGTTGCGGAGGTGCGGGTTGTCAAAGTTCAGTATTTTATTCGATAGTATGTTATATCAAATTCCTTCGTTTGAAAGGATATATCCATGTATTCAATCAAATATAATGCTTTTCATTTGGAAAAATGCATGTTTGGGTCAGCGCCCAGTTATGAATCACCCTGTAGAGATGAAAATATTTTCCAAATAAGAAGCATACTGTTAGCACACATTTTTGTGATTATTTTAGACACTATGTGTAATAACAGAGTTATCAACAGAGCTCACATTTTAAAACTCACCCCCCCCCCCCTGTACGTATTCAGGCTGTGAAAGGTATTCACCCCAATATATATTAGTGTATTAGTGTAATACTGTTAAATTATGGATTATGCTATAATGGTATTAATATTTTTGAGCTCACCAGGGCTAATCACAGCAATTATATCATGTATCAAAGGCGTGATTATGTCAACCCAAGATAAAGATAGTCCTCTGGAGGAAAGAAGCTGTTTTAGCAAGCACTGCTCGTGTTGATCATATGCATCAGTAAGCAACTCATATGCCAATTTTTCATCATTTTCTTCTCTTAGATTTGATGCTTTGAACCACCCTAGAAAAGACAACTCTCACTGTCTAATAGATAGATAGTATAATGAGAGGTAAATACCTACGAATGTTTATTATAATTCAAGAATTTTTTACATATCGATTTATCTTGCCATGAACAACAACTGATAAAATGGTCAGGTTTTTTTGTTAAGTTTTTGTGGTAGCTGCGTGTATTGTATGGTGATAGAGAAGCATTCAGTTATCGTACATCTACGGAATCCTTTTTGTGATTGCTCAAAATGAGTGTGTAGAATTCGCCAGGTGTCCCAGCTAAGTGACTTTGAGAGGGGTCGAACTGCCGGGTTGCGTGAAGCCGGTCTATCAATAAGAGAAGTTTCTAGGAGGGTCAACAGATCCTTACGCAGTATACTGCAGTGTGCACGAGGGTGGACTCAGGAAGGACGAGGACAGCCAGCGAGGGGTTCTGGACGTCCCAGAGGCACCACAAAGCGATAGACCGCCGGTTAATACTTCTGGCTCTGAGAGACAGATTCAGTATAGTAGATCTCGGTTTAAAACGAAGGAAAGTTGAGCCACTCTAAGCAGAGGATAATGTCTGTCAAGATAAGGCAGCACAAAGTCATATATGCGTTTGACCAAATATGACAAAAAACTATGTATAAATATAAAAAAGTTTATAACATTTAAACAAGTTAACTCACATATAGTTAGAGCACATTTATCTAAGTCTTCAATCATGGTGAAAATGTATACACTTTATCACAAGAAATGTTCGTCTAACGGAGAAAGATAATTGAAGCATATACAAAGAGAGTAGGAAAATATGTTTCAGATATACATAAATGTTGAGCAAGTTTAAAAAACCTTTACACATATAAGAAAAGGCCAAATTAGATATGGAATTGTGAATACAGTACATGTCAAACAATATGACACCATGAAAAACATCCATACTTGGACTAAACCTTGAATAAAAACTGAATATATGTATAGAGACTTAAGCTAAAAAACTCATGTAGAGAGTGAAAGCATTTTTCGCCAGATATTTCCTGAGATTTTTTTTAGTTCAAGGTTATTAGTGCTTTTCTAAATTATTATATATTCTAGTTCAAGTTAGTATGAGAGATTTTTGGGATAGAACACGGTTAAGTGTAAGTATACTCGGATCATGCCCTGTTCTAGTTTTATATTGACTATTTATTGTGTTGTTTCGAACAAATTTATTGCTATGTTCAAATGTGAAGATAGAGTTCTTGTAGATATATTTAGATAAAATTTGATATAAGCAGATTATAGCATCTAAAGGTTTCTTCAGAGTCCCTCTGATTGATATTAAAGATTAATTGAAGTACTCTTTTCTGCAGAATGTATAATCTGTTAATCATTGTTGCCTGTCCCTATATTGTTGGTGAGATGAAAATAGACTAGCATATACATGATGTGGCAACAGATGTGTCTTTTGCATAGTTAAGCATATTTGATTTATAGTGATCTTGAAACAATACCTGATGCAGGTGCTGCTTCTAACCTTTCTGAAGGTCTAATAATAGCAGTTTCTTCCTGTTCTTTATGTTTCACTTCTATAGCATCTGGAGATTTGAACCCAATATCTGGAGGTCGCGACAAATAAACGGTACTAGCTTCCAAGTTCAAGTCCAACATATATGAAGATGAAGATGTAATGTTTCCTTGAGATATGTTTATTGGAGACAACTGTTCATTATCAGAATCTGAAAATATAACAAATACAAAATTATGTCAAGTTCAAAGTGCAACTTACAAAACTAGTCAGCATTTTTATTGTGATCTTGCAAAAAAATATGCAAAATCAATGGTGAATCAATAAGAACGTGTGTTCAAATTGAAGGTTGATTCATCACAAAAAAAATGGGAGGAACTTTAAACAACGTGTCAAAAATGCATACCTGTAGTGCTACTCTCTTGTGGTATCTGTTGCACCCAACTAGGTTCCTCTTGATATGGAGGCTCCAAAGCGGATAATTTAGGTATCTCAGGCGACAAAACTACACCTTTCCTGTAGATTACATTTCCATCTATGAAAGCTTGCGGCTCAGACAAAGACTCTATGTAACCGCCTTCTAAAAGAGCTTGACAAATTGCTGAAGCTTGCACTCGGTTCTTAGCTTTTTGTTGAAAAATCAACCAATCCACAATGTCGGATCCTAACACACATTCACTGTATGTTTTCAGACGGACTCTGTGAGTTTCAAACTGGAGGCCAACTGTTGGTTTGCACAGCTCTTCAAAGAGGTTACGCAGAGAGACGGAGTTTTGTAAAGCTCTGAATTTTTCTTCTGATGTCAGGTATATCACACTAGAGCTGAAATTGTGTGATTGATGGATATGATCTGCCAGGATATTATAAATACAGTTTTTGAATACAGATTTTAGTTTTATGGGTTGCTTAAATAACAGTGATTTAACCAATATTGACTGAAAAATAACAGAGCACCAAGCATGAAAAAGAAATATATGTCCAGCAAGAAGAATATCAAATAGTCATTCTTACCTTCCAACAGCAAACCTTTCTTCTTGATATCCAACTGAAATTTTCCTCTTTGCAAGACTTCCTTCAGATTGGTTTGTATTCAAACATTGTGAATCACAATCCTCATGTAAACTTGTATTTGATAATTTAAATTTTGATTCAAGGTTCTCCAATAGATCTTTTAAATCAGTGGAGAGATCTGCATTGACATCTGGTGACTTTAAATAGGATGCAACCACTTTACAACAATAATTACATACCCTTAAATCACCTAAAAAAGTACAAATTATCAGTGTAGAATTAGTGAGCATAATGGACTTTATATAAATGACCTCTTAATAATAGCACAATGAATGAAAGCCCCATATTTGTTTTTAATAGCTAGTATGGGCTCCCATGGGTGTAGCTCAGTGGTCGGCAACCCGTCGATCGCGAACTACCGGTAGGTCGCAAAGGCAATTCTGGTGGCTTGAAACATATTTTGAAAAGGTGTAACAATCATAGAAGCTTCCGTAAATTTTGTAAATTCACATAATAAAAACAAGCAGGGGCAACACTGCGGTGAGCGATCTGTTCGAGAACGATCTCGATTACTTTGAACGGAATAAATATGCACAAAGTCCAGCAATTAAGTTGGCCAGCAATTAAAAATATTACGGAAGAAGACGAAGATATACTATTTCCGTCGGGATAAGAATAACAATATTACTTTACAAAAGTTAAAGGTAAAAATGTATGTTTGTTTTGTAGTACATCTGTTTCTGGGAATATCGAGAGGCACTATAAAACTGTAATGTCGTAAGGATGAAAATTTTTCGCAATTTCTCTGTTACCACTGCATTATCCATCAGCAGGCATTATGTGGACATTTTCTGAAACTAAACAACGTTAGTAAATTGGTAGTAAAAATTGTGAACAAGATTAGAGCTCAAGCGTTACAAAGAAGATTATTCAAAACCTTAGCCAATGAAAATGGCAGTCAATACGGGGAACTACTTCTTCACTCTGAAGTCCGATGTTTAAGTAGAGGACGAGTGCTGAAACGTTTTAAAGATATCATATCTGCCAAGTTCAATTTTTCAAACAACCTGATGAGCCGATTCCGGAACTGGAAAATTCAATCAGGCTTAGAGATTTTGGTTTTCTTGTGGATATTACAAAAAAATTAAATGAACTTAATTTGAAGCTTCAGGAGAGAGACAAAAGCATTTATCAAAAAGCTTGAGTTTTGGGAACAAATCTTAATAGATGGCAATACCAGGCATTTTTCTATTCTTCCAGAAAAGATATCTCAAAGTCCATTAGGACCATATGACAGTAAATATAATGTAGAAATAATCTCTAAATTGAAGGATAACTTCAAAAATAGTTCCTAGGATTTCAACGAAATTGCTATAGTGGCGGAATTTGTTGTTTCACCCTTCGTGGAAATTGATATCCAACAGTTTGCAACTTCTATTATGCAGAATTTTAGCGATGACATCGCTGCGACAGAACTCCAAGTGATTGCGTTTCAAAATGATTTAGCTGTAAAATCATTAGTCTCGAATACAAAATCTATCTGGCCTTCAGTAAGTAAATATTCAGTTTTATGTCATGTTGCCTTGAAAGTGAAAGCATTATTTAGTTCAACCTATTTGTGTGAATCTTCTTTATCAAATATGAAGTTTATTAAACACAATTACCATAATCGACTTACAGATGAACATTTGGATAATTGTATTCAAATGGCAGTATCAAATTATACTCCAAATTGTCAGTGAGTCAGTCAGTGTTAGGTTTCTCATTGAACATGCATTTTTTATCTGGACATGTTTTTATTTAAAATAGTGTGTTGCTTTTTTTATTTTTTAAATTATTAAATCATAGCTGTCAAAATTTTTTGTTTATTATTCAAACACCTACGATTGGTAGGAATGAATCTAGTTATGTAATATGTAATGGTTTATTAAAATTTGTTAGTATGTATGTATTAGTACTAGTAAAATGAACACATGTAAATATGTCACATACAACTGAGTGTAATTTCATTTAAGTTGGCTTGCATTGCTTACAACTACTAGGTAGCTCACTGTTTATTCCAAAATTATCAAAGTTACCCAACCCACTTAAAAGGTTGGCAACCACTGGTCTAGCTGAACTGTATGAGAACTAACTCAATTTCTGTTTGCACTTCTCCAGTGTAAAAAGTAAAGCATGTATTTACCAGTACATCCAAATATTTTCCCAGTTATTTGCTGATTGCAACATTGTGAGCAGAATATTTGTCCACATACGCGACAGTGGTGTCTCCTGCGGAATGTAGTGAATTTTTCAGAGCAATCATAGCACTCTTTGCTAACAGAATCTGGCATCCAATACTGTTTGAGGTCTGTCTCACCATAATCCTGAAGATGCTAATAAACCATTTGTTAGGTCTATGAATTTTCAACAAAAAGAATACTTACAGAGCTTTTCAATGCCACAAGATTACTAATTCTTTTCAAAACATTTGGTAAGCTTCTGCCTTCGGTAACATCTACTGGATATACAGTTGTAAATTCATGGCCATTACCACTATAGGAGGCTTCACTTGATGAGTCTAGGGCCCATGTTGGTAACGATTCCTGACTGACATTTTCAGTAGCCTCTGGAGTTTCTTCTTGGGGAGTGCTTTTGGACTTTTTGAAAAAACTGCTCAAAAACTGACTTACACTTTGTGGCTTGTTTTCCTCTGCTTGTAATGGAGCAAACTCTGTGAGTTTTGTTGGTGATTTCAGATTTTTACTCATTTTATGTTTTGAAATAAACCTGAAAAAATTTATAATCAGCTGTACATGTTACATTTATTTATTTACAAATTGTAATGACTTCTTGGTTTATTTTGATTTCACTGATGACAAATTGGTATAATAGAAATCTACTTTAGTGCTACAGGTCCCTACAGTAGATGGCTAGCAGTAATTCGTTATCGGCATTGCAGAATTCTATGAGGAACATATATTATGACACACGCATGACAGCAGGTATAACGGGTGTCAAAACTGTCAAACGTGTCTCAACACTAACCTTAACCTCAAATCGGTAGTTTCATCTTGGTAGTTTCCAAAAACTTGTGCTATAACTAATCCACAAAACATTTAAAAAATGCTAGAGTAATAAATATTTTAATATGCATAACTGCTTGCTTATTATACTTGATCACGTTTCAGGCAATCTCCACCGTGTAGTGAAATAATTGAGGACATTGAGGATCTGATATCAACCCAGGATATCGGTCCTAAAGAAAGATACAGCTCCAGGAAAAATGTTAAAGTTCAAATAAAAAAGAAAAATGTACGCTTATATATTTTATGATTTACTGATGTCTTACCCATATTCATTTTTTAGATCAACAATCTCCCAATTCCTGTACCAATTGGGGATAATATACCTGGCATCCAAAAGATTTATATTAAAACATGGGGCTGTGCACATAACAGTTCCGATTCGGAATACATGGCTGGACAGCTTGCTGCTTATGGCTATGAACTAGTCGAAGATAAAACTCTAGCAGATCTTTGGTTGCTCAATAGCTGTACTGTAAAAAACCCTTCTGAAGACCATTTTAGGTAAATTTAATAGCATGCATTGTAAATCCCAAAACAATAATTGTATGAATTCTCTTAGCCTCTGCCAGTTTTGCCATTATATTGCAAATCTATAATGTTGAGCCATTAACATATTTTGCCCCTGTGGCATTAGAATCATGTGTAGATCTTAGTAACCAGTTGCCAGGGGCAATGCAAATTTTTTCATTATGAGTGATTTTGATTTCCATATTTTATAAACCAAACAAAAAGACATATTTTCCATCATACCATTAAATGTAAGTTAAACTTAACTGGGGGATTCTTTTACCAAATGACAAGAAGGCAGCCAAAAAATTAACAATTTAGGCTACTGCACATTGGTCACATGGTTGTTGCTCAATACCTGACCAGTGATGACTTCAGTTTTATAAATTTGCAGTATAGCTACATTTTTTTTTCTCAGGAATGAAATTGAAACAGGTAAGAAGCAAGGCAAGCACATCGTTCTTGCTGGATGTGTTCCTCAAGGTGCACCGAAGTCATCATTTGTACAAGGACTTAGTATAATTGGTGTCCAGCAAATAGATAGAGTTGTTGAGGTTGTTGAAGAAACTCTTAGAGGCAATACAGTCAAACTTCTTGGTAAGGCAACATCAATCAACTGCAGTATTTTGTTTGATAAGATTGAGAATACATCTGATACTACTAAATTCATATACTGTCCTGAAAGTTGTGAATTTTTGCAGAAACTGCATTTGAAATAGCTAATGTGCTGTAAAACAACAGCAAATAAGTAAGATAAAATATTGTAGAAAAGTTCTTAATGTTCATTTGATATGACAATATCTTGAATGAAGATAAAACTACAAGTTTACTTCTTCAATAAGAAACCACACATAGATATTGCTACTTTTTGAGATTGAATGATCTTGGGAACTCATGTTGATAGCAGGTTATGCTGGCACAGTGCTTATTTTGCAATCTTATAATTGAAGCCAAAGATCAACCAAAAATCAGTCTTACTAACAATATAATCATATGGGGGCAGGCAAAAATGATTCTACAAAAAAGAGTACTTCAGTTAATTTTTAATGTCAAGATTCTTGTAATGAAACTTTTATATGCTATAATCTGCTCAAATTAACTTCCATACACTTCATAATTGAACATAGCGATAATTTTTTTCAAAACAATGCAATAAATAATCAATATGAACAGAACATGATCTTTATACCGACACATAACTCTGTTCTGTAACCAAAACTCTCCTATACTAGGTTACATTAGAATAAATAATAATTTACCAAGTGAGTTCTGGAGAAGCACGAATATCCTTGCACTCGTAAATCATCTCTGGAAATATCTTGTTGACAAATGCATTTACTCTCTACAAGAGTTTTTTTAACAACTATTTTTCATTTGGACATGAAAACCACAGGATAAGTTTAAGATGCTACATTAACCAAGTATAGATGGTTTTCATGCTTTAATGGTATATATATTTCAGGTACTGTAACATTTTGTTACTCGTTAATTCCAAAACACTTGCTTGTTAACTTCTTGAATTCACCTTGACCTTGCTGCAGTAGCCAATAAACAATCCTGTAAGGCTTGGATAAAAATGTCCAGCAAAATGATCTACATATACCCATGAAACATCAACAGCATCTTGAAGATATTGTAAACCAACTTGAAATTGACAAATGTTTTATTACCAATTCCCATTTTCGGTTTTCTCAAAACCACAAGAGACTGATTGTCATATGTTTGCTTTTTGAAAAATGCAGCACAGTAGTTAATATTGCAATGCAGTTAATTTTCCATACATCCATTTGGACATTAAAAACGTACTTACAAATATTTTCTTTTAACCGGATGAAAATACCTTTTAGGCACAAAGAAGGAAAATGGCAAGAAATCTGGTGGTGCTTCCTTATTACTTCCCAAAGTTAGGAGGAATCCACTGATTGAAATAATAGCTATCAATACTGGCTGCCTCAATCAGTGCACCTATTGTAAAACAAAACATGCCAGAGGTGATTTGGGCAGCTATCCTCCTGAAGAGATTATAGCAAGAGCCAAACTAGCATTTGAAGAAGGTGTGGTAGAAATATGGCTAACATCAGAAGACACTGGTACTTATGGTAGGGACATAGGGACCTCTTTGCCTGAATTGTTATGGAAACTGGTTGAGGTATTATTTTTATGATAATGATCAAGCTTGTTGTGATGAGGTAATCAGTAAGTGTTAAGTAGTGTTGATTTATCATAAAAATGTCAACTTATTATTTGCCCTTTTTGTCAAGCTTTTTGGAATATCTTGTATCACTGACATCTTCAATTTGTAAGACATGCCCTCCATGCCAAAGACAGACAGATACACCAGTTTTAACAAGCGCATTCAAAGTGTTGCTTCCAGAGTTGATATGTCATCTAGTATGTTACAACAGTGGAAAATAAATATTTTTAAAAGCACCCTAAGAAAAGAAGCGCAAAGCATACCTATGTATATTTTACATTACTAGATATCAACTGTGGGACCTATGCCTTAATGTCTTAGTCAAACTTGACGTGTCTGTCTGGCATGTTTGTCAAAATGGAATAAGGGTAATTTTGTTAGCGAGTTTTACTTATTTTCTTCTCATTACCATCCTCAATGACAGACATGTTTTTGTCAATTTTACACTTCTCATCAGCTAAAGAACACCCAGCTAAGTATCCTCTTTAGCAAGTTTGAGCATTTCTTTTGATGAATCTAGCATCCAGATTCGGTAGTTGCTTCTTTTTCTCCAAGCTTCCTCCATTATTGTCATCTTCTGAATCTGGTTAGACTCTATCAATAGATTGGATGAAGATATTAGAAACATAATAAACACATACAAAGTTGAAAGAGCTGCTAGAATGAAGGCGCTCAAATGGAAATGGACAACGAGCTAAGTCAGTATCCTGAATGTAGAGAAGGAGACAGTAAAAACATTCTAGAAGTGTGCCACTTTGACCCATCCCAGTTTGGTAGTGATTCAGAGGATCACAACAACAACTACCGAAACTGGAGGCTAATTTCATCAGAAGAAGTGCTGATTCTTGCTAAGGAGAGACACTTAGCTGTCTGTTATCAAACTGATGAGGAGAAAGTGAAGAAATCATGTCTGGATGGCAGTAATAAGAAAGAAAAAAGTGAAACTGGCTTAATCATTACTAATAAGACAACAAATGAGCAAACCTACACTACTAATGCTTTGATGTTGGCCTTCTTGATTGTACCAGTCAATCTATTTGACCTGTGCGATTAACTGATTTTTATAATTTTGCAGGTGATACCTGAAGGCTGTCGACTGAGACTAGGAATGACAAATCCTCCATATATTTTAGAACATTTGGAGGAAATTGCAAAGATAATGTCACATCCCAGAGTATACAGGTTTCTCCACGTTCCTGTACAATCAGGAAGTGATCAGGTATTGGCAGATATGAAGAGACAATACTGTAGAAGTGACTTTGAAAACGTCGTGGATTTTCTCAAAGAAAAGTATGTATTACAAGCTATCAAGAAATGTATTACCAAAATGTATTCATTTGTGAGCTTCTTCTTGAGGAGAAGTGATCAGGGTCCTAAAACATATAGCCAAATCATTGCAAAAACCAGATTACTTTCAATATGAAGTTTTAGTTTTTAGTGATTGGCATTTACAGGGAACATTAGGGTTACAGATAATAATAGACAAGAATGTAAAATCACAGAAAATGCTAAATAAATCTTGAACAACAACAACTAATAACAGTGACCGAAAATTTTATCCAAATACAAAATTAGATAGTGTATAAGAAAACATAAACTAAAAGTTGTAAATATAGCAAGTGCTTAAAAGTATCAGTGATTCTAAGATTCAAAATAATTCACAATGTCATCTGACAAATGTATCACTGTAGGGATTTGCAGATGTTAAAATTTCAAGCTACCTTTGTCAATTATTTATTTTATTTCCAGAGTGCCTGGTATAACTATAGCAACTGACATCATCTGTGGATTTCCCACGGAAACTGAACGAGACTTTGAAGATACAATAAACCTATGCAATAAATACAATTTTCCTAGCCTTTTCATCAACCAATTTTTCCCAAGGCCTGGAACACCAGCGTCGCTTCTACCGAAAGTGCCTACACAAGAAGTGAAACAGAGGACAAAGAGACTCACTGATCTTTTCTATACCTACCAACCATATGATCATAAAATTGGGGAGATTCAAGAGGTGTTAGCTACTGAAGTGTCACATGATAAGAAGCATTATGTGACTCACAATGAGTTCTATGAACAAGTGTTGATACCTATGAGGAAAGAATTTCTGGGAAAATTGGTGAAGGTAAAAATAAACAAGGCTACAAAGTTTTCAATGATTGGGGAACCACTGGATGAAATCAAAATGCCTGGATTGACAAAGCCATTAGAAAAAGGACAAGTATCTGGCGTTAAGCTGGAAGGCAATGTCGATAAGAAAGTGCTAATAGCTTTGTTATTATTATTTATTTCAATTGTTATCAAGTTGCTTTGTAATAAAAAGTATTTTTAGAGAGTTGTGTCAAAGTTCATCTCAGGTGTACCATGTAGCATTAATATATTCCACCAGAAGATTCCAACTTCAACTGACAGCTATACCTTCGAGCAAACGAGCTTAGATATTGCGGTGCTGCCAACCACTAATGCTCTCAACTACAGATCCAAATTCGAATACCGAGTATCAGGTTCTCGGTGGAGCGATATACGAGCCCCTTCCCACTTCAGTTGGCCCAACTATTGAAATCTTAGTTTTTTTTTTCTTATCAAACACAAACAATAAAAATGTAGCAGGGTGTTATAGATTTAAAATATTAACAATGAATATTTTGATAATATATAGTAGCATAAAAATAACACATGTTGCAATTACAGCATATCAACCTATTTTCATTTTAATGCAAAATAAGTCTATAACGCATAGGTGGCTGTGAAAAATAAAAGCCATGACAATTGTTTTTATTAATCACAGCTGTCAGAATACGTTTAAAATAGTTTTGGGTAGTTAAGGTTTTCAAAATGGGTAGAGGAAAGGTTATTAGTGAGAAAATTCGGTTACTGATAATTACATTTTTTAATTCTGGGAAATCAAACTCAGAAATTGCAACTTTGTTAGACTTATCGCGGTACAGTGTGAGAAATATTGTTAGAAGATATAACGTAACTGGTTCAGTTAATATTAAGCCACGATATGTGAAAAAATGTAATATCACAAATGCCGACCGAATAGCATTAAGAAGAATAATCGTGAAAAACAGGCGTGCCAATTATTTGCAATTAAGTGCTCTGTGGAGTGACGCTGTTTGAAGGAGAATTTCGAGGTCCACAACTCATAGAGAGACCCAAAAACTGGGATTTAGCACTTGCAAGGTAACTTTTCTTATAAAAAAGTGAAGTAAAAACCATAAAGTTTCACAACTTGTTTATAGGCCAAAGAAAAGCCACTATTAACTCCACTGCAAAAGAAAAATCGGCTTAGATGGGCTAAAGAACATAGACAATGGACACCTCAACAATGGTGTGCAATCAATGGAGTGATGAGGCCCGATTCGAAGTTTGTGTTAGTGACAGTCGCAGTAGAGTTATTCGCAAAAAAATGAACATTCCATGAAGAGAAAAGTGAAATTTCCAGCATCCATTATGGTCTGGGGCAATATGTCATCAAAAGGAGTAGGAAAACTTCATTTTATTGATGGAAATGTGGATACAAACAAATATTCGGCAATTTTAGAAGAATCGCTTTTACCAGTGAATGTTTGACATCCGGCCAAGATTTTGTGTTTCAGCAAGATGGTGCAGCGTGCCATACCTGAAAAAGGCTATAAAATCGATGGAAGAAAATAATGTACCACTTTTGAAATGGGTTTCACCTATTGAAACTTTGTGGCACGAGATGAAAAAGGTTCTACGACAACATCCTGCTCGTACAATCACCGAACTCAGACAACAGCTTCAAGAAATATGGGATTGTTTTACACCAAATTTTTGCCAAAACTTGGTTAACACTATGCCCCAAAGAATTTCAGCCGTAATAAAAAATAAAGGTTATGTTACCCAATGGTAATCTTTCAATTGTTGCTTTGTTATCTTCGCGCATTTATTCGCACTTTTTTTACTTGTTCAGATGTTCTATTAGTTATAGGTCTAAGTGATTTCAAATATGTATTTTTTACGACTCGAGTGTATCTAAAATGTTTTTTGAAAAAATAAATTGTTTTAGAAGTAAATAGTTTCATGTTTAGTTTATAAAGGCATATTTTGGTACAAATCTTGAAGTGGGAAGGGGCTCGTACTTTCATTATTTTATCTATTCAGGAGTTATCCTCCCCTGATATTGACCATGATAATTAGGGCCGAACTAGAGAGGTATAATAGGACATTACTACTGCGTTCGCTGCTCGTTACGGTTAGACGTGTTTTTAGTCGCTCTCGTTTTTTGTAGTTCCCAGTGTAAATAATCTATTGCAAAGTGGTGTTAGTGTGTTGAAAGGAATGTACAATTGTACACAACTTCATCCAACCTAAAGAATGGATCCAAATTTAAAAGAACTGAAAAAGAGGGGCTGAAGTAGCTCCCTTAGCAAACTTACCTTACAAAAAGAGGAGATAAATAAAATAATCCTTGAAAAAGCAACAGAGATAAAAGTTGGTGCAAAAAGGTGTAGTACTAACGAAATGGTAAGAGTGCATGGAACAAATCTACAAGGTGATAACACAAAATCAGATAACAAAAATGATACAACGTATGATGTTGACGCAATATTCATACCAAAATCTTCAATTTTTCTTACCCCACCTAAAGTAAGCCAAGAATACCATAGAAGCCACGCGGACATTCTTACAGAACACCACTCTAACATTGAAAAAGGTAAAAGACCCAGATCGCAATCTAGTCCAGGGGCAGAAAATGTTAGTAAAAGGCTGTCATGAAGTGAAAAACTGTATGACGGAAGAATTAATTCAAAACTTCTTTCAACACACAGGATAAAACATGCATCGTACAAGTCACTATGAATATACAAAAATTACTGACACAAGTTGTGAGACCAGTAAATGTGTTACCAGACATTGAAAAATTATTAGAGTCCATAGTGCATGACCAATTAATGCAGTTTATAGAAGAAAACAAAATTTTAGTGGAGGCGCAAGCAGGCTTTCGAAAAAAATATTCCACAGAAACAGCTTTCCAGTTAGTAACTGAGAATTGGAGAAGAGCCATAGACTCATAAGAAGTTGTCATAGCAGTATTTTTGGATTTGAAGAGGGCATTTGAAACGATTGATAGAGATATTTTGTTAGGTAAATTGAAGGCATATGGTATAACAGGAAGTGTTTTAGATTGGTTTAGAAATTATTTGTCTAAAAGGATGCAAGTTACAAAAGTTAATGACACTATTTCATCAAAAATTGAAAATACGTTGGGTGTTCCACAGGACAGTATCCTGGGACCACTTCTTTTTATTTTGCACATAACATAGTCAAAAAATGCAAAATTCAGATTTTCGCCGATGACAGTATGATTTATATAAGTACTAAAAATATTCAGTCTGGTATCTCTTATATAAATGAACACTTGAAGCTTGTCTCAAAATGGTTAGCATCTAACAGACTAAAATTAAATGCAAGTAAAACGAAAGCCTTGTTAATCGGAAAAAAACAAGGTACAAATGTTCAACTGAATATTGATGGTGGAGATATTGAATTCGTAGAAAATTTTAAATACCTGGGGGTTTTTGTTGACTCTCGATTAATTTTTGATATTCATTATGAAAAAGTTATAAATAAGATTAGTAGTAAAGTGGGATATTTATCGAGAGTTTCTGGATGTCGTGAGTTCACATAGCAGAAAAATTATCTATAATACCATCATTCTTCCAAATTTCTTGTACTGTTCGACTATTCTATATTTAGCAAATACTTCCATTTTTGAAAGACTGCAAATTTTACAAAATAAGTGCATGAGAATAATACTAAATAAAGATAAATATACTCCAATTAGGCAAATGCTTAGCAAATTAAAATGGCTCAATTTTATCAAATATCTTGTAATGATATTTATTCATTTATAAAGTAAAAAATAATATATTTCCATCAAGTCTAACTAATTTAACATCATCAAATGTCGACCATCATTTACATAATACCAGAAATAAAGATGACTTCCATTTAATGACAAAAAAGTATAACATATATGCTACAAATCTGTATTCCATCAAGGGTTGATTGAATATAATAAATTATGAGATAAAAGACCAGAAAACTTTGAGAAAATTGAGAAATCACTTGTTAAATCTACAATTATAGGTTGCCCAGCATTTACATCATACACCATATGGCTTGAATTTACTAGTTCTAAGTTGTTTACAATTATTCTGTTTATGTAGCCAAATGTGCTAAATAAATCTTTCTACTACTACAAAGTCAGTCAGCTAGAAAAAGAGAATGTTGTGTTAGGAGCTAGAATAGAAAACAGCCAGCCAAAGTATACACGCACGGATTCTAGTGGAAGCCTATCGAACGTGCAAGGAAAACAAGAGACTAGTAGAACTGAAATAGTACAACCAAGAAGTTATGCCAGTATTGTAGGTGGAAAGACAGTAAGTACGACCAAAGAACCAATAAGCAAAGTGGAAGAACCATGGACGACTCCACCAGAAAATCGGAAACTTGAGTCAATCATAAGAGTGGAAAAAACAGAAAATCCTAGGGTGGTCCTAAGTAGACTTAAACAAGAGTTGACGCAAAAGGATACTGAAGGAGGCTTCAAAAATATTAGACAATTACAATCAGGGGCAGTAATAGTAGAAAGCCACACTGAAAGCCAACAACAGAAACTGAAAAATATTATATTGAAAGATAAGATCGACATAACAATCAAAACAATTCATAGATGAGCTCATAAAGCCGAATAATGAAATTGAAGCTGAATTAAACTATAGATGTCGTTACAAAGAAGAACTGCCGTAATCCACATAAAGCTAACTGGATATTACAAGCACCGCCCGAAATTGCTAAGTGGTTCTTAAAACGTGGTCAGATAAACTTCGATTTGGTAAGGGTTTATGTTAAAGAACACATTATTTTGGCAATCTGTTTTAAATGCTCAAATTTTGGACACATTGCTAAGTACTGCAAACAGCAGATATGTTACTACAAATGTTCAGGTAACCATGAAGCCACCAGCTGTCAGGAACATGATCTTAAATGTGTAAATTGCCGAAAAATGAAATATAGTGACCTTAATCACTCTGCCCGCGACCCAAAATGTCCAGTCTACACATCGAGAATTAGGGATTTAGAAATAAGATCAATTACAGCCAGGATTTTAAAATATAAACAGGGAACAAATTGATGCTGATGAGTCTGACACCGATGGCTCTTTCAAGCAAATGGAGAAAACAAGGGAAGCATGGTGGGAGTGCAGTTTATGTGAGGGTGGGAGTTCAGTGCTCGGAAAGGTCAGATATAAAATCATTATCTGTGGAAGGTTCCCTGGAGTGTGCTACAGTAAAATGTTCCTTATATGGGTTGAATTTCATAATGTTGTCAATATATAGGTCCATCTGGTAAT